CCGTCGATGCTGTCTTGCGATTTCGTGAGAACGAGGTCCAGACAGTTGGACTGTTGGCCATCGCGCATCCTTGTCAGGTAAGTGACGTGATGCGTGAGAAATAACTTTAGGGTCATGTTCTTTAACCCTTAAGTTTATTGTTTGCCCGGCATAGCTTGGGACTGCATACTTGGTGCCGATTTTCCTACATGCACGTACAGATCGTATTATTGTATACTATTTACTGGACTTAGTCAGTATGGCTACTAAAATTAGCACTGGAATGTTACTTCTAGCAGCACTATCCTATTCCTCGTAATACAAACTTAGTAGCAACTGGCACAGTTTTGGGGTGGATAGAGGGCGAAAATTGATGCAAGTCCCGATGTGCTTCGGGCCTCAAACGTGTATTTACTCGGAATAGCATAAATCCAGGTTCACACACCTAGTTGAGATCGAGGGAGCATGAGCCCAGCGTTGGCTTAAATCAGCCTCACCGCTGACAAGTGTTAGCGTCATTAATAGTGTTAGTACTACCCTCATTCAGTTGCATCGCCATTAAGCAGTAGTCTTAATAGTAGCAGTCGTGGCCTTCTTGTGTCAGCTTTGACACCGGCTGAAGGTGAGTGAGTGTAGGTAGTGCCAGCGTTAAGTTCCACTATCACTTAAGATTAACTCACGCGGTGATCTGGCCTACATTGGAGAAAACAGCCAATGCTAAATCTCATCTCGGTCTTTTTGGCTCTGCATGAAGGTGGAGAGTGCGGTAGACGATCGGAACATCTAAAATCACTCAAAACTAACCCCCTTTTCTTCAGTTACCTTTCCTGCACCAACCTATTTGAAGCATATGATGGACTTGGTCGAAGTCGATGGTCAAATAGTCAGATCAACACCGGGCTTGATCAGGCCACGGTCGGTGTTATTCGGGTTGTGCTCTCCTAACAAATGCCGTGGCACACGTAGATGCAGGCTCATGACGCACCAGCCATTTGCGCACGATCTCGCCTTCAGGCGTCTTGACTCTGTCTACATGGAGGAAGGGGGAGGGAGGGAGAGTGTGGTAGATGTAGTCTAAGCTGACTACCACTTAAAATGAACTCTCGAGCAAGTCATCTTTTCTGATCCACCTTGTTGGACCACCCTTACAAGCGTCTTTTTTAAATGGGTAACTCATCACAGAAAAACGTTTAATTGACCTTAGATATGTTAATACAGTAGTCGCCGATTATTAAGCCCACGGCTAATAAGCCCAGCCGCGTA